AATTTGAGAAGGAAAGAAAAAAGAGTAAAGAGAACAAGTTTATCAAACTGTCGCCCCTACCACCCCCACTCCAAAATCACCACTACCAAAAAAAAAAAAAAAAGAAAAAAAGAAAAAAAGAAGACTGAATGAAAAAGGAATAATAAGCACGTCGAATGATTTTGATGAGCTAGAACAAAATTAGTATAAATATAGAATCTCTTCATTTCAAGATGTATGTCAGTTCTTCCGCCTATCTCCTGCCCTTCCCTCTTTGTCTGTCTGTCTGTCTGTCTGTCTGTCTGTCTGTCTGTCTGTCTGTCTGTCTGTCTTTGTCTCTCTGTCTCTGTCTCTGTCTCTGTCTCTCTCTATCTCTCTCTCTCTGCTCTCCCTCTCCCACCTGGTTAGTTGTTAAAATAAGTAACTTCTGCCATTAACTTCTCCCCTACTCGTTAATTCGTATAGTATAAATTTTGTTAATATGAGTTTAAAGTTAAATGTTAGAGACATAACCATCCATTCACTGCCAGTTTCCTTTTAAAGCCATAAAAAGCATCAGGGCTTATCATGAGAAAAAACTTGAAGCTTTTAGAAAATCAGAAGGAATTACTAAGCGATTCCCAGTATTGTCAAGAGTGAGACACGACTGTGTGTTCTCTCCGTTATTATTTGAAACATACTATTTGAACTCAGAAGAGAGGCAAATACAAGTAATGACAACACCAGCGCAAATGAAATCATGTTAGCCGATGACCAGAGCATCTTGAATGCAAATTCCGATAGCTTGCAAGACAATACAAGTGTCTTGAATTTAAAAAAAAAAGATGCAAATGATACTGAATGAGAATCAGCATTACCAAAGCAGGAGCAATAAAAGTCAGCAGTAACCCAGGCCCACTGAACATCGCCATCGATGGGACACAGGTTTGGGAATTTTAATACCGTGACAAAAATTATAATTTGTGATGGAAGAGTGGCCAGAAAAATTGAAAACAAGACCCAGAAAGCAAATACAGTAACTCACTAACGGCCACTACTACCCACCCATTTAAACGTGCAGGTGGAAATAAAAAGGCGACATTTCAACAGCACATTCCTTTCAACACTGATGTACCTATGCCAGATACGGCAGCTAAATCCAGCACGAAAAAGAAAGATCATTGTATGTGAGATTAAAAGCCTCAGAACTTAGCCAGTGTCAAAAGAGAGACCTGCATAATGAGAAAGGAAACTGTCCATAAACCCGCAAACGATCAGAGACAAAACCAGCAAATGAGCATATTGAACATCAAAGAAGAATATTTCAAGGTCTATTGATGTGTTCACGGTGCCAACCGTCAGCACTGCTAGTCATAGACCGACTGATGAGAACGTGAATTTCACACAGATGTGGGATTCACGGTTTGAACAGATGCCTTTTGTGATGCAGTTTTTAATCACGATTTTAACATTATGTCATATTTCACGTTTTATTGACGTAATTGAAAACAGTTTTACAGGGACATGTATCTCACCGAGCACTATCAAAATATTAGGCAGACACACACACACACACACTTATACAGACACACACACACACACACACACTTATACAGACACACAAACACACACACACACACATACAATTAAAAAAGCAATTTTCGAACAATTTAGCAATGTGTGATTTTATCAGGCGACCGGCGGAAACAAGCCACCTTGGCACTGACCAAAAATTGTACCCTGCCTCGACGTCAAACGAATACGAGAGGAAAGTGTAAAATGAACATATTATTCATTTTAAAAATAGATTCAACTTTCACTTTATAATGTTCAGATTTTATAGTTCAATGCCAGAGCGAACCTTGAAAACCTTTGAACAAAAGACGTATAAGAATCTGATAGAAATCTCTAACGTCATGACTGCTACCCCGAGGAAATCATTTTGCTTTTAAAAAATGTATACAAGTGTGTTCGTGTGTGCGTATGTGTGTGTGTGTGTGTGTGTGTGTGTGTGTGTGTGTGTGTGTGTGTGTGTGTGTGTGTGTGTGTGTGTGTAGGTGTATGTATGCGTTCGTGTGTGCGTGAGTGTATGTGCCTGTGTGAGTGCGCGCGCGCGCGTGTGTATATGTGTATGTGTGTGTGTACATTTTTTTGTGTGTGCGCTTCTTGTAAGCTTGGATAAAATCCAAAGAAAGAGGATTCCAAGGGGTCTATAAAAAACCCACTGGTTGACCATGTTTTGAACAATCCTGGATATAACACGGTTGACTTGTCACGCGATGTGGTCTGTAGTTTTACTCATTGCTCATTGTCCGAGAGCACCACAGGTAAGTACTTCTTTTCTTGTTTCAATCAGTTGTTCCTCTGTTTGTCTATCCTGCCCTCTGCCGCACTAAACAATTGTATTATTTCGATGTCAATTTCTCCACTTAGAACAAACCCACATAAAAGAAAGAAAACAAAATTGCAGCAAATGCATCAGTTTTAACAGGTCAATGGAACGCACCAATTGTAGTTAGCTTTTCTCTTTTTTTCCTCTGTTATTTCCATCTGTCTCACTTACAGATAAGTCTATAGCAACCGTTATGTTTGAATATCTTGGTAGCATTTTTTCTGAAAACGGGTCAATAGACAGAGAAATAGAATTTATACCAACATTATGCTACCAGTGCCAGACCTGGACATTAAGTAAAACCCTTGAAAGCAAATGCACTGTATGCGAAATGAAATGTCTTGCCATAACCCTTAACATCAAAAGACGAGACAGGCAGAGAAATGAAGAAGTAAGAGCACCTATTGACACTGAGTTCTGCCTGCATTACATAGAAAGACGAAGAATAAAATAGTTTGGTCACCTGTTAGGCAAATCACCTGGCCAGCCAGCCTCGAGAGTCTACAACACGAAGCCCTCAAGCTTTAAAGGAAGAGGAAGGCTACACAAAAGGTGGATCGTGGGTGTCAAGGAAAGCCTGACAAAACATAATAAATATCACAACTGAAAGAGCTGCGGAGCAGGCCTGACATAGAAAACTACATATCGACGATTAACGGCACCAGAGGATGAAACAGTAAAAAAGTAAAGAGTAACAAGTATAAAAACCAATATGTTAGCATGTTTTGAAAGTTCCTGGATATATCACGGTTAACTATATTTTTTCATGCACCAGTTGTCCGGAAATGCGTCTAGGCGTCAGTAGTTATCTAAACTCAGAGAACTCGTTAAAAACGCATTAGCCTGTTAACGAGGTCGTGTTTTGATAGAGGACGCCACTGGAAATCCTACAGCTTTTTTTAACCATTATTTTTTTCTGTCAGTCTGCTTTACCTTTTCCTTGGACTATTTAACCCTTGATGTATCATTGTAAAAGTACTTATCATCATTGACCTCTTCCCCGGGTATGAAACACATTTTTTTCGAGTTTTCTTCTGGTTGGTCCTACTTTTTTTCCTTTCTGTCTATCATGTGTATCTGCATGTCATACCTTCTAAAAGCACAAAATGACCGTTATTGTACCACTGCGCTTTACTTTACCCCCCCCCCCCACACGCACACACTACCTAATATGAAAGCATTACCAACAGTAATAATTAAACAAGTATGCATAAATAACCCAACATTAAATTTAAAAAAAAAGGAAAAGCAAACCAACTACCATTCTGTGTATCGCCATATTTACTCTAACCAGGACTCCTTCCTAGACCTAGACTTGGAGAAGCTTTACAAGCGCTATGCCGTCCGCACCAAGTGCCCAATGGTGGCTGCATACCTGGGCATTCTGATGGTCTCAATGATAGTCTTTCTGGTGCTAAGCTTTATGCTACGGACTGTGAGTACATTTGTTACTTAGTTTATAGTAAAGTTAATATAGTTTTATTGTTTGGTATCCTGGCAAAGGGGCGGGAAAGAAGGACCGGGGCGGAGGAGGGTGAAGGGGAGAGGAGGGGGAGGGAGGGGGGAGCGTAAATTATAAAGAATAAAGAACGCACGTGCTGTTGGGACCAAATAAGACGGACAGTTTTTTCATACACAGACTTAACTTATTATGGTCTTTAAATTTCAAAGAAACGATATCTGCCAGCTCTCATTTCCTAAAGTGGTACAGAAAACATTATGTTTGGTAATATAAGTACTCAACGTTTTGCCTCGAGTAAGACAAAGAAAAGCACATCTTTATCATCATCACCACCACCATCATCATCACCACCACCACCACCATCACCACCATCACCACCATCATCATGCATGCTTCCCGGGAAGCTGAGAATGTTTCTGAGTATTTTATGGTCTGCTAGGGGATATAACATAGTGTAATGCGCATAGAGCTTGCTGTCAAACAGCTATATGCGCTATACAAATGCTATTTGTTACTATTATGTTTATCATTATCATCAGTATCATCTGAAATTGCCATGGAAACAAACCCACCCTCCTCAAACATCTATAGAAAATAACATAACAACTATACACACATTGTTCAACCTTTTGACTGCCGCGTATATTCTCATTAACACTCCCATCTATTCTTCCCCAGCTGGAGGCCACGGTCGAATGTATTGGTCAAACTGTCACCCTCATCATCAGTTTCATCTACTTCACGGCTGTCTTTGTTATCGTTATTTTTGACGGTCGGAGAACGATAATACTCCGACCCACCTTCACGAGTCTGGTCATCGTCATTGGCACCATCGTCTTGGCCAATCTCTACTTCGGCTTCAGCAACTCTCGGACCCCAACCTCCGATATCCCTGTTCTCTTCTACACTGTGTAAGTCATTAACTGCCACTAGCTAGCTATAAACATTTCTTGAAAAAAATCATCTTGGCCCTCAACTCCCTCACTCCCTTCATTCTTACGAGTTTGTTTCTTTGAATAAATACAAACAAGTAGACGTGCATGGTGTGTAGGGAAAGACTAAGACAGATGGCTAAATAAAACACCAAAAGGGAAAAAAAGTATAACGTGCCAGTAGCTTCCTTTAACCAATTATTGCCGTTTGCGTGAAAGTAACCTTGCTTTAGATTGATAATCATCTATTGACATCATAGTCCAAGTAGCCGGTCTCTGCAACTTTATAAATTATGCCGATGGAGGCTTAAAACGTTCATTTTCAAATTACAGCTATCTGTTGTTTAGATGCAATAAAATGTCATTCACAGTCACAGCGTGTATTGATCTACATGTGCGTCTGTGGAAATTATGGTTCCCTTAAAAAAGGTTTCTCTCTGTTTGTTTTGCTCTATTTTAATCTTTGAAATAATGCACAGGCTCTTTGGTGATGCTTGTGGGCGACACGATCTAGATTCATGCTTGAGGCATTTTTAAAAGTAAGCTTTTTACCCCCCCCCCCCGGCTCCTATCAACTCAATTTAGATCATTAAGAATCTTTGACCAAGCAAGTTCTGTCCACATTGGTCTTGTGGCAGTGACATGCTGCAATTTTTCCAATCTCATGCCCCAAAAGGGTCTACCTTGTACATAGGCATTATTATAATCACATAATGTGTCCAATCAAAGTCCTTATTTATTTTATTAAATACCCACTGTGACTTGTTGTTAGAGGACATGGGACAAAAGGTAACGGGAAATGGATAAATACCAGATATTGTTTGCAGTGATCTCTTGAACAGATGTCACAAACTCATGGCCCATGGGCCCATTGAGACCCACAGGAGGATAATACTATTTTGTGCCCCTAATTTGTCATCAAAATTTGGTGTTAATGCGGCCCTCACACACACATACACACTATCACACACTCACACACACATACACACACACACACACACACACACACACACATACATACACACAAACACTCACACAGACAGACACACACACAGACACGCACACAAACTCACGTGCACCATGCACGCACACACACGCACACACACACACACACGCACACAAGCACAAAGCTATTTTTCCAAGGTAAATTCTTATGGTAACTTCCTGAATAGAATTGATATATTATTTATCTCCTATAGGCAACTGCATAACCGCTCATGTTATAAACTTCTATTAATGAATAGAAATTGGATCAGTTCTACTTTTATAAATACTTGAAGTTCTTTTTCTGTAACACATAATGCGTCTCAGGCGTACCCAGACTCTACCTCAAGCGGCCTTAGGGTAATTTGAGTTTGTGACCCATGGTTTCGATAATAAGCTCAAGAAAGACGCGTTATGAAACACTGGCCTTCTTTCTACGTGTATTTTTCTCAAAAGCTCTTGGTGTCTCCTTTGTTGTTTGGCGAATATAAAAAAAGAAATATGTTCTTCTTCAAGTGCCATTTCTGAAAGCGACGTCGTCAGTTAATTCTCTTCGATGATATTCTCAGCAACCTGTAATATCTTGGGTTTTCCCAACACCCGCCTTTCTATGTTCTTTAAGTAAACTATTCATTGTCTCTATTTTGTCTCCTCTTCTTGCTACTTTTGTCTCCTCTTCTACTTGTGAGCTCAAAACGTTTAAACCATTTCTCTTTCCCTTATAGTTTTAATTATTGACATTCCCAAGCAAGCTTAACTCTGCTCTGCCTTGTTTGCTCTCTTTTATTTTCTTGAAATTTTCTACAATCTCACAAGAATTCATGATTATGCAGCGTCTAATATTTTTTCATAATCCTGAGGAATTGATTAATTATAATATCTTTAGGTAATATCGCATTATCAGTTTTAAAAGATATTTATATGATAATGACAACATAAACAGAATACTGAAATGGCGTTTTTCTATGTTCCTTTATTATTCAGGCAATTAACGGATTTTTACTTGTTAGTTTTCAGATGAACTTTAAGCTTCATTTTTCAATTTTAAAATAATGAGTAAATGGGCACTGAAGAAACCAGAAATTTTCACCATTTCTCGCCTCCTGCAATGGGCTTATTGAAAGATTGTCTAACTAATGTGCTTTTACCTGATCAGAATATTCGCCGTTTGCACAAAGAATGATGGTGTCTTCGACTTAAGGGGGGGGGGGGGGAGCTGCACCCCCAAAGTCAAGATTCGGCTCAAAATTATGGAATTTGAGTTGTAGGCATTTTTTGCTTACTCAGCCTCTCCTACAACTATTTCATTGCAATAAAAACCCCAAAAACCTTATTTTTTCCCCATACCGGTCACGTTTGTCTCTGCCATTTCCTCATAAAGTCAATATTTTATTTGTCTTTATCGGCCGTTTTCTCAAAACCCGACTTTTCTCTATACTTTTTTGAATAACTCCGCCATTTTTCATCCAATCTTTATACAATTTTCACAGAATGAAGAAAAAATGTAATACTAAAGATTTATGTGCTGAGTTTTTGATATATGGAATAGACTTTTGTTGGTGGTGTCTGGAGTGTGGATTTTCACGGATTTTTTGCAAATTTGAATACTACCTCAGGAAAAAAATTCATTAAAAATTGTCTAATTCGTTTAGGAAAAAAACAACAGACACATTTTTAGATCTAATGTTTGTTAACACGCATGCAAAAAACCCCAATCTATTTCCATAAGGGATAAGTGCGATATTCATTACGTAAGACATGTCAACAAAATCCATTATGGCCGCCGTATCCATGTAAACGAAACCTTTTTCTCAAATTTGATTGCAGATTTTAAGACTCTTTACTATGCTTGTTATATGTGTGTAATGTGGTAAAATTCGGTCCTGTAATAAGCGAGATAGCCTTCAGGAGTAGCCCCCCCCCTTAAACGTTGAAAATATTTTTCACATGAAGCGAGTCGATTAAGGATTTTCTTTTATCCAGCTCACCTCCTCAGAACAATATTAAAATATGATGATTTAATCTTTTTGACTAAGTTAGAAAGCAATCGCGGCAATGAAAGTTGAGGGATTCATGCTACGCTTGATTGCAGTTCGCTACCCAGGCCTGGAGCGTAATTTGAAAACTCCGGTCTTACGGCATTTGACCTAAGCACAATTTAAAAAATCAGCTCTCACATTTTACTCTACATTATAATTCATGACAACTTACATATAACTTATCAAGTCTATAAAACGGGTTTTCGACTAATACCCCCCCCCCTTTTCTCGAAAGAAGCTGAATGCTCCATACGCGGAAAGCAAATTGCACGTCGTACGGTGGGTTTAAAAAAAAATCAGTACTGTTATTAATTATACCTAAATTTACAAATTTTCCCCGCTGCGTATAGTCTTGAAACTCAAAGTCAAATTAACTGATATAAGGTCTCAGTCTGTGCGACCCCAAAATAAACCAAAATAACTGACTGGCTCCTTCAACGCATTCTTGGAAGGAGCTTTTGCTATCGTTCCTCTGTTTTCTTCTATATTATGTCCATTTTGCTTTTCCCCTCCCTAATAATTAGTGATACAAACCAATTTTGTATTTAGTTTGTATAGAAAAGTACATTCGATAGATACATAAGCACGAGGAGAAAGATGAGCAGACCTTGAACCTTTAGCGACCCCAGCCGAATCCATGGGAATTCGTATTATATTTGGAAGTTTGTATGGAAGAGTAATTGGCCGCTCTCTTTGTCTCTTTACCCAAATGAAAGGCCGTTTTCTCCTCGAGTTAATTGAGTCGCCTCTCTCTCTCTCTTTGTGTGTGAGTGTGTGTGTGTGTGTGTGTGTGTGTGTGTGTGTGTGTGTATGTGTGTGTGAGTTCGCGTGTGCGTGCGTTTGTGTGTTTGTGTGTTTGTATGTGCGTGCGTGTGTGTGTGTGTGAACGCGTGTGCGTGT